ATTTACCGGCCGCCATTTTGAATTTCGAATCGAGAACAAGGTCTAACAGACTTCGTGCCCAGGGTCATTTTTTCTGGGAGTTAGGAACGAACGACAGAAGATTACCCCTGGGTTCCCGAGGATGGGAACAGTAATGATTTAATTGCAATGAAAGTACAAGGTGAAGAACCAAGGAAAACCAAAGAGCTAGCATTAAATATGTGAAGTAATGTGCATGAAACTCACTGTAACAAAAGGTCTTATTTTGAATTTGACCCTCACGCCCCCGGCTTAAATCCCAGGTTAAACACGCAAATTTGACCACTTTTAGCACAATTTTCTCAAAAATATCTTTTAAAATAGAAAATAAGAAAAAACCTAGAAACGACATATGTTAGATGTTTTAGTCTGTTTGACTAAATTTTAGTACGGTCAAATTGTATATGTTTTGATTCTTAGTTGGTACAAGACGATGTATGGCATATTTGACATTCCAACGCGTCGTCACAAACAAAAAATATGTACCGTATTGTACGCAATGCATTGTAGCCTACATATTTTTGTGACAAAACATTGCGGATTTCCTTTGCTTTCTTTAAAAACTGATCCCACAATGCATTGGAATTCAGCTGGTGACGTTAAAGGTCCATTGATTGACAATTACTGTTGAATCCGTTATTTAAGTATAAGTTGACACTAGAGTCGGTTCACGTAGTCGCTGGTTTAATACATATCGAAAAGCACATGTAGTGAAATTACATGCATGATTGCACATAGATAACTACGTAATCATCCGGGNACATAATATATAGAGAGATAATGTTGCGAGCCACTTGCTGTGTAATATGCGGTATAAAAGTCGTGCGGGCTAATAGCTCATGAATTATCAAAACGTTTTTAAGAGCATTTCCCTTTGACATGTCTTCAAAAAGAGCGCATTTTTCTTCTATACATTGGTATTTTGCGATGCGATATTCAGTAACTAAATTTTGTGGAATAAACTGTTTAATAATTCAAATATCAATGAAATTTATTAATGATATTTCTTTTCATGTCATTCAGGAAGCGTTTGATGACAAGGGTGCTCAGAATAGGTCGATAGGTTCATTCATGATAACAGGTATCAGCTAACTAAATGACTTCTAGTCGAGAACTTTTTCAATTTTATTTCATTTTAATCATTCATTATATACTTTGTCTTGTATTATACATAGCAAAAATTCATCCAGTGCTTCCTTATTACTGAAAGTGAKCCTAAAAACGCTTTGAAAATAAAGTGCTTTTCATCTTTAGCAAATAGATTTCCTGGATTTGCAGACGCGTCGTAGTTATGACAAAATTGACGGGAATATATTTTTTGATTTCGCTCTCCTGTGGATTTTTTGCCAGTGATGAATTTTTCTAATATCATCATTTTCAAAGATAAATGTTTGAGGAGAATTTTTGATGTTTCGACAAACATTTTGGCGCTTTTTTGTTCCTTTTCGTCGCGGAGTATGGGTTTGCTGTGGTGGTATACGACGGGAACCCTGTGTCGGTCCATGAAAAATGAGCTCGATGGTTTACCATTTTTTCTTTGCTATGGTACTAWGGTGCTTATTTGCACTAATCATCCAACGTACAGTCATTTTCACTTATGAAGCTAGGAATCATAAATGACATGAAAATATAAACTACCTGTCTTGAAGAGATGTTTGGCCCTGAATCTTTTCCATGTCATTTCCAAAAATAATATATTCAAATATAATATATTCACTAAATTTCTAAGGATTTTCAAAAAAGCTTRACTTTCAAATATATCCGTCAACTATGGCTAAGGAGTATTATTGAATATGACTCTTGGAAAATATTACTTCCAATAGACCAATCCTTAATTCGCTTGAATGAACACGAAACAATGGCTTCATTTCGAGGCTTGAGTTTTAACTTTTGTCGAAAACTCCAGCCTCGAAATGAAGCCATTGTTTCGTGTTCATCCAAGCGAATTAAGGATTGGCTCTATTGAGATGCATTGCATAATTACAGTATATGAGTTATATGTGAGTACAATGGCGTTCTTTGGTCTAAAACTTTATTGGCGAGCATCGATCGTAAACACAGGAGCCCCGCACCGCAATGTTGTGACGTAGAGGGGTGGCAAACAGGACTGTTTATTGTGGTCAA